GGAGCCGGCTGCGCTGGGTGGCGAGAACCCGCCCGAGGAGACAGGCCTGCAGGGCTCCTAGCGCCGCGCCCGCCAGTCTGAGTCGTGCTGCTCAGGGGTGGGAGGGGCAGGGGTCGCAGTCAAGGGGGCTCCCCCCCACCATTGAATCCAGGCACAGCTGGGGGACGATGGTTGGGCTGAGCCCAGGCCGGTGCCTCTCACCCAGGGCTCCTGCATCTCACCTGGCGGCTGAGCTTCCTGCCCATGGTGCAGGCGAAAAGGAGGGCGCAGGGACCCACTGGCACTTCGCTATGCCATCATCTACCCAGGGCTGTGGGGAGGGAAGTGCCCCCCGGCCCCGGCTCCTTTTATGGCTGGGGGGGGGGGGGGGAGGGCCCCCACCACTAGCACCAGAGAAGGGTTTTGTACTTAGACAAACACCTGCATCCTCCTGCCTTCCTGCAGCAGGGAGTTATGCAGGTTAACAGCATGCTGCCGCATGGGAGTTATGCAGGTTAATGGCGTGCTGCCGCAGGGAGTTACGAAGGTTAGCAGTGTGCTGCTGCAGGGAGTTATGCAGGTTAACAGTATGCTGCTGCAGCAGCAGGGAGTCACACCGGTTAACAGCACACTGCAGCAGGGAGTTACACAGGTTAACAGCAAGCCATCAGCGGAGGGGGTAATTCAGCCGTGGGTTTGGAAACCAGGCACATTCCCAGCACTGCCAGTGCCTCATCTCCTCGCAAGCCTGCCAGTGTCCTCCCAGGCCACATCCACACTGCAATTAACCCCTGCAGCCGGCCTGTGGCCAGGTTGGGACGGGAGAATCCTTCAAGGTCACTTCCCAGCTGGGTCACTCAAGGCCGGCTGGATTGTGATTGGCTGCTGCCCTCATAAAGGGGCGTGGCCCCCCGGGGGAGGGGTCCTAGACCCCTTTGCTCCACTCAGCGCAGAGACAAACTCACACGGGGCCCGCACGGCTCAGAGCAGCCTCTGGCAGCGCCCGACACCTCCTGGGCCCGGGTCTCTCTCGGTTCCGCACTCGCAGCTGCTGGGGAACAGCAGGGCGGGGCCAGTCTTCCCTAGGCTGTGGCTCCCGGGGCGGGGCGGGTCTCTCCAGCACATGGTGCCAGGGGGCGCAGGCTGGGGAGATATTAGCCCTGCCACCCTCAGCCTGAGGTCCCCCGTGCTCCCTGTTGCAGGCCACCCGCTCTGCCTGCCTCCCGCCCACGGCCACCCCCGCCCACTGGGGCAGAAGAACCGGGGATCGGGACGGGCACAGGGCCAGGGCAGGCGCCTTTGTCCCACAGGAGCCGGGCTCCCAAAAGCCAGACGGTGGGAGGGACTCGCCATATTAGCCCTGCCACCCTCAGCCTGAGGTCCCCCGTGCTCCCTGTTGCAGGCCACCCGCTCTGCCTGCCTCCCGCCCACGGCCACCCCCGCCCACTGGGGCAGAAGAACCGGGGATCGGGACGGGCACAGGGCCAGGGCAGGCGCCTTTGTCCCACAGGAGCCGGGCTCCCAAAAGCCAGACGGTGGGAGGGACTCGCCCCTGAAGCTCAGGCCTCAATATGTGAGTGGGGCAGGGCGGGCTGGCCTCAGGGCACTGGGGTTGGTCCCAGAGTCCAGCCCTGGGGGCTAAGGGACGACGCCTGTGGCTAAGCCAGAGCAAGGAAGCTAAGACGCCCCGGCTGAGCTGGGCTTCCGGGACACGTGTGAGCAGCAGCGACCAGCAGCCGCCCCGGCCCCGGA